AAACTATTTTTTTATAAAACTAAATTTATAAATAATTAACATATACTAGCATATATTAATTTGACCAAAATAAAATGTAAAATTTTATAAAAATGTTTTGGAAGAATTTCGGGAAATACAAAAAAAATGTATTTTTAGAATTAAATTAAATTTACCTATTTGGCGATTTTTAGTGTTAGAAAAGACAACCAAGGAATACAATGCCACACAAATTTAACTCAAAACATGCCGCAGATATTAAAATTGCTCAATTGTTGTTCATTTCGTAAAATAAAGCATCATCAGCTAGTTCGAAATGTCAACAACCAAAAAGCAAGGATACACATTTTGCCCAGACCGTACAAAAGAAAAATATTGACAAATTCGACTAAATGTGGGGCAACTTAAAACTTGAGATGTGCCAAAGATAAATAAAATCTAAAAGCGTAAGTCAAAATATAAAATAAATTTTTAACTATTTTATATCTACACTTGTGAGAAAGCCCAACGGCAAATATATTAAATAAAAAGTAGGGTACGAATAGATTTTGTGAGAGGTCCCTATCATGGCACCCTGCCCATACGATAACCACCAAATCCAAATGGTTCCAAAAAAGAGAAAATACAATAAAATACATAAGATACCTAAAGAAAAAACCAAAAAATATCAAATATGAAGTATCAGGTACCTGGAGAGCGACCCAATTTTGCCTTGCCTCTGTCTCTAGTTCTAGGGAAGGAGTCAACTAATAAATTGGTAAAATGAGTGACATTGCCAGTAGTAACCATTGTATCATCCAATAAATTCCCGAGCTCGAGTTGTCCTCCGTTCTTCTTCTTCCTCCTCGTATAGACCTGTCATTCCTCATCCGAAGATTGACTCACCTGATCAGCGAAATGGTCTGAAGTGTGCAGGATATGTGTAGGTTGTTGAATATTAAAAACAACTATTTGTTATAACAGCTGATCTTTTATCGGATTGAAGCACTCTTTTGTGTCTTGGCATGTAAAGTGTGTCTTCCTCAATAACAGTAAGTAGTATCAACACATTTGAATCTGTACCTGTAGTATGATGTTCTTCATCTGGAACTACGATGTTGGAAAGAGGATCAGGTTGTACCTTCTCAGCAAGGATGGTAAGTGACTGACCTTTAGCGATATTCAGCCTTAGATGAGAATGCAAGCGATAACAAATAGCAGAACTATGGCTAAACATACTACAATGAGAGCAATAAGAAGGGTGTAGGGTGTAGTTATATTTCAACCTTTTATCAATGTCCGTTGTGAATAGTGTCAATCCATATCTCATCCAGAGCTGGTTGAGTGATATTTCTCTCAACTAACACACAAGCCACAGAGGGTCTGGTGATGACAAGCGTAGGACTATCAACCTTGAGAGACTTACCGTAAACAGTAGCTAAAGAGTAGAGAATTTACATATTTAACAGATGTAATTTTAACACCGGAAACTTTATCCAAACATGAATGATGGGAAACTCCACTTTTGGATCAAAATCGACAGTTCATTTCAGAATTTTCATAAAACGATTGTCGATCTTGATAACTTTTCGAGAGAAAATGCGAGTGTAATCGGTATCATGAGATAACTGAATAAGTATAAGTCGACTGTCAAGTAATCCAATATTCCAATTACCCAATAGTTTCATAGCATCAAACTCTTTCTGAATGATCTCAAGTTTTTTGTGACCATAAAGGAATTTTCCCACTAGAGCAAAACGCCAAGAGAACACGAGAGTACTAATTTCAACCTCAGTGAGAATAAGACTAGGCTTCCCACTTTTTTTTCCAAGTTTTTTAAAAAAAGTGTGATCACCGCCACCTTCAAGAGCCTCGTGGAAAGATTGTGGAACATTGCAGAACTTACATATACCAAAACCAAGCTCTGAACCTGGAGAGGCACGAGTGAGAAAGTCGTCGGCAATGACATTTGCATAAAAACAAACCATCTCCCTCACAAGATGGTCACGGTCAGAAAAGAACGGTTTGGCGGGCCGCAAGGAAGCAAGCATACTTCGGGCGTTGTCTGTCGAGCATGACAGTCGCTTCGTCTAAAGCAAACAAGGAGACGCTTGCGAAGAAGAAATGTCGTCGGCTACGAGAGACGATTGCGAGAAACAACGCCGTCGTCTATGGGATCAAACGACGTCGGAAGGAGCGATCGACTTCGCCTGAAGCGACTGAGAGCTGAAGCTACGTGAAAACGTCGACGTGGGAGACGACGATGAGAAGGGAAGAAGCCAATATATTTACCTCCGGAAATTGCCATGGGGTGAAACCCTAGCAGAGCGTGTCCCTGTCAACGCCATTCATATATATATATATATATATATATATATATATTCCAAATCAAATCACTTGCGCCACATATACAGACATTCACCTAATATTATTCATATATATATATATATATATATATATATATATATTCCAAATCAAATCACTTGCGCCACTTATACAGACATTCACCTAATATTAAGGATATCATTTTAGATAATGCAATCCATTGCTATTGATAAAAATTTCTTTGGTCATATTGGGTTGATTATCTCTAACTAGACCAAGGTTCACTACTACCAAGGATAAAGAAAATGTGGGGCCTTTATTGAGTCGTTATCATTCCCCCATCAACCACTTGAAGCTAAAGGTAGTGAATTTCTTCCATCCAAAATTAAAATTATTTTTTTTGTATGTAAAACATTTATGCCTTAATGACTAATCAAAATTAAAAATTCTCTCTCATGACTAGAAAGATAAGTAACCATAGGGATCAACCTATGAGAAACTTGAAATCATATAATAAAATCCTCATAAAATGATGGTAAAATCTTTCAAGTTATGTTTTATCCAAAATTAGATATCCTCTGAAAGTTTGACCTGATCCCACAAACTCTATTAAAAGAGCTGGGAATAAATTTTCAAAGCCCACAAAGAGTGCATATCTCAAGAGGAAATCTTGGAGACAGTTGGAGGGGGTGGTCATTCGTGATGAGAACCATAGCCTTATAGTCGTAAGAGGCTAAAACTTGTAGCATCAGTACAACACTCAAGTGAAGCTTAAACAATTCACTCTATTGAGAAAATATAGAACAATGGATGTTTGAGAAATAAGGACATCTTCATTGAAGGTGGTAATGTAGATGTCATAAACTTCCTTCGCCTGAGCTTGGAGTAAAAGGCTTGGGGAACCCAACCCAGCATGGACCGGATTTGACTTTCTTAACTCAAATTAGAAAGGTGCTCTTTAATTTTGTGCCTCTTGGAATACAAGGCCGTTCACTTCTGTGCTAACTTCGCTTTAAATTGCTTTTGTATAAAAATATATAGATTGTGAGCCGCTTTGCTTAAAAAAATTGTTTTTGACATTGTTAGGATGCATATAGACTAGACTATAAGTTCTTAGTTGCATACTTTTTGTTCAATTTCCCTTTTGATATATTAGTGCAGGTTCAAGCTTCAAAAAGATCCTAAGTGCGGTGAGGGGATGGTTGATTCTACTTGTTGAAAGTACAACATTTTTCATTCAAAACAAGTCATAACATGGCATAATGACTAAGGAGGCTCTTGTTTCATTTTTAGATAAGCCTCAAAAGTCTTCAGTGATATTTGAGAACAAGGATTAAATTTACACAATCGGATACTGAAATAATTTTCACAAGTGAGGCGAGCCAAAAACCTCAAGACATTTGGAGCCATAAACCTCAAAATTAAAATATTATATTAATTACTAAATATTGTATGAACTATAAAGCGTGAAGTAAGAGAGAACATATTAATAATCAAACTTATTAACACATTAAAAAGGAATAAAATAACATTTTATTGAGTAAAATATAATAAATTGTACAAAATAAGAAGTAAAACTTAATACCCTAACATCAAATAATGAAAAAAATGGGTTATACTAATATTAAACTATCAAAGAAAGCTAAAATTTCAAAATAAAATACTAAAACATCAAAGCATAACCATCAAATTAAAATTAATATTTCTCCCTCATTCATACTGCCCCCCACTTAATAGAGAATATAACAGGTCATCAATATTTGCATTTTTTAAATTCAAAGTTCATATTACTCTCATTATCCAATAGATTTTCATTAAAATCGGCATAATGAATTGTTTAACTCACATTTTATCCTTAGTCGTATCCATATTCTCTCATTCCTCATTATGTATAGTCTCATATATCTTCTTTTTTTAAATAAATAACCATTTAATAAAATTATTAATTGCAAGAATAACTATTGAAAATTAGAACTTCAACTACATAAATTTTTATGGATGTCTTTTTTTCTAATTTCTTGTTATTTAGTGTGTAAGGTGTAAGAGCTAATAGGTTAAGTGGATTGAAATTGAGTGATTTAAGGATTGATTATATGAAAAAAATCAATTAGTTGATAAATATTAATAATAAGATAATTGAAATTAGAATTAAATGCTTTAAACATTAACAACAAAGGATATAAAAATTACCCATTAGATGAGTAATTAAAATTAAGAAAAGAGGATTATGAATGAAAAAATGATAAACTTTAATCGATATAAATAGAAGCTTTTCAATACGATTTATAAAATATAAATTTAAAACCCCCAGCATCAAGATAGAAACAAATGGAAAAACAGTATATTTATAAAGCCAAACTCCAAATGGTTCGGATCAGATTAATAATGTCATGATGATGTACATTTTTTAGTGTTTATTCCACAAACTTGAGTAAAACTGGAGCAGTCATACAAAAATCTACTTTAGTTCCCTCACAATTATCAATAAAGAAGCACTTCATTTTCAATAAATAATTCAAACTTTTCATCTCACAAAAGAAAGAGATAAATAGAGGAATATATGAAAATTATTTCTTAAATAAAAACCTATTCAGCCGGAAGCATAAGGATTCATAAAAGAAATAAGCAATCAGCAACTAAACATACAAGTTATTCTCATGTTTTGAAATGCTGTAACAGGCTAGAAAAAGATAGTGCCAAGAGTTCACGATACTCACATCAACAACCATCTTATCAATTTCGCATATATTAATTTGTTCAATAGAAGAATAACGCGACACCTCACGCAGAACACCACCATCTCCCCCTCCAATAACCAAGACCTAAAACATTATAAGTTAAATCAAATTTTTGAATAAATATGAAAAATTCAACGTTTAAAATGCTAGAGAGTAAAATTATACATATTGGATAGAGTGCAATCACTAAATTCTATATATCTTGATTAAGTAGTAGAGAAGTGAATTTCAAAACAATATCGTGAGATCTGACAAATAAGAGATTAAGCTCATGCATCAATCAAACTTTATAAACATGTTTAAACTGATATTAAAGAACAATACATTGAGAAGTTCAAAAATTTTTTTTGCAAACACAACATCTTGGTTATATATTTGCTAAACCTTTCTAACCATATGAGACAAGATGTTTTCATATTCAATAAGAAAAATCAGAACGAGGAAAAGAACAAATGCAAAAGTTGAACTTAGGAATTAGGATTTGGTTGCAATTATGGGGTTGCAAAAAGATCAAGTAAAAGCACAAAAAAAAATATTCTTCATCGAGGTTACTTTAATATGCACATTGTTGGTCTATTGTAGAATATATACAATCAACCATCCTGATCCTAAAGGCATGCATCCATAAAAATATAAACCTTCCGGAATCCGGCAAAATTTATTGTAAGATACCATAATATTAAGATGTTTTCTGTTTATATATAATTAGCATAAAAATCATCATAGAAGATTAAACAAACATTACCTTCATTTACGTAAGAAATTTAAAGACAAAAATATAAATTTATAAATATATTTAACAAAAAATTTATTATAAATAATAAACTATTATGAAACAAATTGTATTATATTTTGAAATATTTCATATCCTTTTCTATGCATGAGATGCCAATATCCTTTGAAGCTATTACAAGAGAAGAGTTAGTGAGGATATTTAATCTAATTTTTTTTTTTTACATTTGATTAGTTTTAAATTTTTACAAAATAAATTAATAAATGTATAATGATTAAATTTAATAATTTTGTAGAGATTATAAAAATAAATAATAATCCAAAATCTCTATGGTATTGATGCAAAATTTTTCCATAGATATTGCCAAGGTAGGTGATTTACTTTATTTTACTTTGATGAAAAATATAGAGAATATTTTTAAAATTGATAGTTTGTGCCCCCATTAAAAAAATATTTTGGCTCCACCTCCGCATATAGCAATTTCCTAATACATAAGTACAAGACAACCTTGCATTCAATGTTCTAAAAGTTCCATCTAAACATGAAAACCTTCTACACAACTCAGCCTACCAAAAAAATACTTAATGTGGGAACTCCAAAAAGAATAAATAATTTGTTTGGATTGTTAATTCTGGGTATCGATAAAAATAAACAGTAATACCATAAATTAATTTGGACTCAACAATTTCTATAAAAAAGAATCAAATGCTAATTTGCTTTTGACCGAGACACAACTTCAATGTTATAATTTATAGAGTTGAAACAATGTCAATTTTTAGGACAACCAGCTTTCATCTATAGTAATGAAACAATACAATGACAGCAACAATCCATTTTAGGAAGATCATACGAAGAAAAAAAATCCTTGTTGTTCTATTTCTATTATCTAGTTAATTCTAGAATTCCAAATTAGACAATAATTTTCAGATTTGTTTCTTTTTTAGATAGTTATATCTCTAGTTATTTATGTACAACTTTTAATCTATTTGATACCGAAGGGAAACCAAAACCACAACAGAAAGAAAATTATTATTGCTGAAATTCAAATGGGTAACAACCACGTCTCTTCAAAATAGAAAATAAACGATAACAAACAAAAAGAGACACCCTAGGATGACGGTGAAGGGGTCAACCCCAACAAGATGGCAAGAGGGATGGTTGGTCGTGTGCTTGCAGCTAAGACTGTAAACAAGTCAAGCTTAAGCGATAATGGGAGATGTTGGGTAGTGTGCGACAACAGGTGTCACGAGAGAGGGACTGCAACAGGGGACATGAGAGAGATACTGCAGCAGATGGAATAGCAGAGAGAGGGGCGGCAGGTAACAAAACAAGAACAAGAGAAGATACAATCACCACCTTGAGATGAGTTACAACCATAACACCTTATCGTCATCAGGTACAACCCTAGCAAGGAAAATGCCCAAAGGCAAGAACCTGAAATCTGACTCAAACAAAAGACTAAACACTAGGATAGCAACACATATATTTGTAATAGATATATAGATGAGAAATTATAATAATGGCTTCCTCTATCACTAATAATCACCCAAGTTGTACCAAATCTGCAAAAAAATACTTTTCTTCAAAACATTTTGAACACTAAACATCACAATTAGGAAGAGCAACTGTTTCGATCCACTTATAGGCATAGTCTACTGCCACCAGAATACAGATATTTCCTACTGAATGCACAAAGCATTCCATAAAATAAATTCCCCAAACATAAACAATTTCAACTTCCAAGGTAAAATTCAGGGAAATCTCTCATCTCTCTTAAAAATACTATCTACCTTCTAACATGTATCAAAACTTTTGATACATTCGTTCACATCCTTAAATAGGATAGGTCAATAAAATCAAAATTATAAAAACTTGAAAACTATTCTAAATCATCCAAAATGTCCCACAAATTCAAAATCGTGACAACATCTAATGATATTGTTGACCACCTACAAAAGAACACACCTCCTAATGATATGGTCCTTACACTTCCTAAAAAAATAAGGTTTATTCCAATAGTAAAATTAGACATCACAAATGAATTTCTTTCTTTAATGGTATGCCAGATCATATGGAATTATACCACTGACAAGAAAGTTCACAATATCAGCAAGCCACATAGTGTTTTGGTCAAAATTTGCAAGGAGTTTCTCACTCACTAATTCCGCAAACTTCTATGACTTTTTTTTTTTCTTATACCAACACAAGTGTCAACTACCTGATTTTCGGTACATTTCCTATCAACAATCTCAATATTGAATTCTTGTAACAAAAGGACACATCGAATCAAATGTTGTTTGGCATCCTTTTTAGTCACAAGATATTTGATATCAGTGTAGTCAATGTAGACTGTGACTCTGGTATCAATCAAATAGGAACTAAATTTATTGAATACACGCACTATCACCAGTAGCTCTTTCTAGGTGGTGGTGTAGTTCACTCGAGCCTCATTCAGGGTCTTATTGGCATAGTATAAAGAATGAAAAATCTTATCTCTCATTTGTCCTAACAATGCCCCTACTGCATAGTCACTAGCATCACGCATCAACTCAAATAGACAATGCCAATCAGAGACAACAATAACAAGTGTCGTGACTAACTTGTTTTTCAGGATTTCAAATGCATTAAGGCTCTGTTTGGGACGGCGGCAGGGTTGTGGGTTGCACCGCGCCGCTATTTTCGGGTGTTTGGGGCGATGGTGCCGCTACTTCGTGCCGAAACATTCCCCGAATGCGGAATGCGCTCATGGACCCGCGTCCCAGCTTCGCCTTCCTACTTTTTACCCTTGTGCCCTTTCTTCGTGTTACCCCATCCGAAACAAATCCAACCAGGATTCTCGTCCTTGCAGGCGACGAACTTCTCCCCTCTCCTCCTCTTCTCCGAAGGTCGTCCTCAACGAACTTCTCCCCTCTCCTCTTCTCCGAAGGTCGTCCTCCACCTCTCATGCAGCTCGGATTCTCGTCCTCGCAGCAGCGGTAAGAACGTTTTGTCTTATGGATGCTTTGGATATGTTATGCCTCTTTTTCCCTAATGTTCATCTTCTCAAAATTTTCTTTTGCCCTAATCTTCTCAAATAATGTTTTGTGGTTTATATTATTTCTCTGTTCTTCAAGCACCCACCATCCCAACCATTATTGGATATGCATTTCACCGGTGTTTCATTCAAATTCCATTTCTCATGTTCATTAAAGACCACATCTCTACTGAAAATATGCTTTTCTATTTGAGGTTGAATTCAACTTGTAGCCCTTATAATAAGAGTTGTACCAATTCCACTTCTCAAGTGCATTAATGATTTCTTATCAGGTTTATCATACTTGAATTATGGAATATGAGTAAAATACTTGCAACCGTACATTAAGAAATTTTAGCAAAGCTATACCAAGCTACAAATAGAGTTGTGCTCTTGTCCGTAGGCTATTTTATAAGAAGGCAGTAGTACTTAGTGCCTCAGCCAAAAAATTTCTTGTTAATTCTTTGTAAGCATACCCCAAGTCATCTCTAGTATATATCTATTTCTTTCTTCCATTAAGTCTATTTTTCTTTGAAGTATAAGAAATAATGAATAATGCTCTATGCCAATATGCTTAGAAAACCTAGTGAATCTTTTGGAGGCATATTTTTTTTATTTTCCAATCTTAGAGTTTGAATTCTAAGAAATTTTAATTTTCCATCATTGTCTTAAACTACTAAAATATTCCAGCAACTTCTGACTTGAATTTAATGAAAATATTTAGCGAAACCTTATAAATTATTAATGAAATCAATATAATACAGGCTAACTGCTAGTGATGGAGTTTTACATTCTTATGAATGAATTGTTGTTTATGAGTCGCTTTTTGGAATGATTTTGGAATGATTTGTTTACCAAATTGGTAAGCACGACAATAGGGCAAGTCATGTGCAAAATTTGATAGGTCAACTTTAAGCTCTTCTTCGTCATGAGTTCCATTCTTTGTAAGTAACTATGACCAAGCCTTGTGTTTCAAATCTTAGTGCTGAAACTACAAGCTTCTATTTTCTAGATTAAAAGAAATAATTTTGCCTTCAATTTTAACATTGAGAAGATTCTGACCTGAGGCCTCAAGCCTTTGACAGAACCTATTTTCAGATATCACGTTGAAACATTTTTCAATGAATTATCCTACAGTCAATGGATTTTGGACATTTCAAGTCCATAGAGAATATCAGTGATTTTTGTTATTCTTGTTGTGCTTGTTATGAAAATTTCAATTATGACTTTCAAAATACTTGTTAGCTTCAAATCAATTATGACTTGCGAAATATCAGAGTTCCTTGTTCACTTGTTGTATGTTTTGTATAGTCGCTATCTATCAACCAACTTTTAGAT